TGGATTGTGATGATATGTAAGAGCTCCCAAAAAAGTATTTAATAAAAAATAAATAAAATAAACATTCATGTGTCAAAGAGAGCAAAACAAAACAAAATCGGCTTAAAGAATAGGAGAAAATATTTGTACATCTTCTATCTGATCAGGCACTTGTATCCAGAATATATAAAACTCACTGCAATTGAGTGCTGACTCACAGAGAGCCCACAGACAGAGTAGAACTGCCCCAGAGGATTTCCGAGGCTATAAACCTTTCTCCCTCGAGTGACTGGTGGGTTCAAACTGCTCACCTTGTGTTTGGCAGCCCAAGGTATAGCTAGACTGCCAGGGTTTGTCAAACTATATAAAGAACTCTTAAAAACCTGCTGCCATCGAGTTAATTTTGATTTACAGTGATCCTATATAGAGTTTTGGAGGCTGTATGTCTTTACTGGAGCATCGCCTCAATTCTCTCCCTCTGAATGGCTGGTAGATTTGAACCTACAACCTTGTAGTTAGTAGTCCAACCCTTACCTAACAGCACCACCTGGGTTTATAATTTAACAAATAAACCAATTGTAAAGTGGGGAAAGAAGTTGAATAGATACTTCTCCAAAGAAGATATGTAAGTGACCCAGGGTAGCATGAAAAGATTCTCAACATTAGTTATTAGGGAAATGCAAATTAAAACCACAATAAAATATCACTTCAAACACAGTAGAGTGACTATAATTAGAAGACTGGTAATAAATGTTGATGACTATTTGGAGAAATTAAGAGACCAGACACATTGCTAGTGGAAATGCAAAATTGTGCAAATGTAAAATTGGCAAAAACTCGTGGGCAGTTCTTCAAAATGCTGAATGTGGATTTATCATGTGGCCCAGCAATTCCACTCATATGTGTTTACCTGAGGAAAGTAAAAACATTAAATCCACACAAAAACTCGCAAACAAATCCATAGAAGCATTGCATAATAGCAACAAAAAAAAAGTAAGCCACTCAAATGGCTCCTGTCAACTTGTATAAGAATACATGAAATAAATAAAATGAGATACATCCATGCAAAAAATATGTTCCTAGACCATAAAATGAAATGATGTACTGATACAGGCGACAACATGGATGAACCTTGGAAACATGCTACGTGAAAGAAGTCAGTCACTAAAGACCAGCTAGGAGACGATGAGGATTTACTGATCATGGGAAGTGTGTGCTTTTGGAGTGATTACAGTGTTGTGGAATGGACTGTGGGTAAGGTTCTACAACTCTGTGAATATATGCAAAACCATTTTCTTATATACTCTAATGAGGGGACATGTACGGTATATAAATCATATCTCAACAAAACTGTTAGAAAAAAAAATATATGTACTTCCCCAAACTCGAAATGGAAACTTCCTAAGTATATTCCATTGTAATAAACCAGATATGAAGTCCAGTTTGCACTTACATTATCAAAATAGCAATCATAACCATCAGGAGAGGCTTTTTTCAAAGTTTCTTCCAAAGACGCTATGGTCTTGTAGTTAAAGGCAACGTCGAATCCGAGTTTTTTAATGTAGGCCACTTTGTCATCAGACCCTGCTGCTCCAACCACTGTGCAGCCCTACATGGGGAGGGGGGAAACCAATGAAAGCCATCTGCATGGATCATCTCCGGCTCCTAATCTAGTATGGTTGGGTTCCCTAAGAAGACACTCTTAGGTACTGAGCCACATGCATGGGAATACCATACGGGTCAAAAGGCCCCACAAGTGAGAAGAGTCTCTGAGCCAGTCTACAACCCAACCATGACTTCAGTTTGGCTCTGCCTATCCAACAGATTCCTTCTACAGTTCTTTGTTTTGCAGTCGGCTTCAATCTGCTAGTTGGACAACCTCGTCACTTGATTCCCTTAACTCTTTATTGTTTGTGAGCAATCATGAAGGACATTAAGCTATAGCAAGAGAAGGTTGACTAAAACCCCTGAGACAGTAAATTACAGGTCACAAATCCATTATGCTAAGATAGAAGCCATTCCCGACTCAATACTTGCATTATTACCCACTGCCCCTGAGTAGATTCGGACCCATCGGGACCCTCTAGGACAGAGTAGAACTGTCAAGGCTGTACATCTTTATGGAAGTGGAAAACCTCATATTTCCCCCAAGCAGCAGGTGGTAGTTTTGAACTGCTCACCTTGTGGCTAGCAGCTTAAGGCATAACCCACCAGACCACCAGGGTCCATGCATTGTTAGCAAACAATAAGGTGCAGATCATCCTTGCTAGATCATTTTCCATTTCCAGCTTCTCAACCAGCTCCACTGGACTGTAAACTCTTAGACCAGGGCAGGTCTGCTGTTCTCGCTGCTGCGTTCTTCCCACATGGTGAGCCTTCAGTAAAGGTTTGCACCTGGAGGAAACCACTGACCTTGAGCTTAGCTATCTGCCCCACAACAGCACCCACTGCTCCTGCAGCTGCATTGACCATCACGGTTTCTCCTCCTTTCACACCACAGATGTCAAGCAGGCCAAAGTACGCTGTGAGGCTGAGGGGAGATCATAAAAAATGTGAACAGGTATGTTTCTTTCCCTTACCGTTCATTTAAATGTGAGGGCCTTGTTGGGAGTCCCCAGGTGGTATAAACAATCAACGTGCTTTTCTGGTGGTTTGAGCCAACCCACAACTATCTCAGAGGAAAGGCCTAGTTATCTACTTAAAAAAAAAAAAAAAAAAGGCAACTACAAACCCAAGGAGCTCAGTTTTACTCTAACACATACGGGGTTATTGTGAGTCGGAATCGTCTACACAGCAACTGATTTTTGATTAGTTAACTTTCTAAGCAGCCCAATGCCATCCAAAACAAACAAACAAACAAACAAACAAACAAACACACCAAAGTCACTGCCACAGAGTCCACTCCGACTTCTAGCAACCCTGTGAGACAGGAGAACGGCCCCCATGGGTAGTCACAGCCCACGACGGTGCATCTTTCTGGGGGTAGAAGGCCTCCTCTCTCTCCTGCAGAGGCGGGTGGTTTTAAACTACTGACCTTGTGTTAACAGCCCAGGGAGTAACCCCCGGGGTCCAGATAAAAGGCAGAACAGAAAGAAAAAAAAAAAGGCAGAACAGAAAGGAAATAAACACGACCACACACTATTGGTCCTCCTCTTCCTTCGGTAGCCAAGACAGCAACAAAGCAGATAGGAACGAGGGAGGGAATGAAGAGGCGTTTGGAACGTAGCTACAGCCAGTTCATCCACAGGACAAGTTCCAGAGGAGAAAGGAGGCAGGTTTCTCTTAAGCTTTGGGGATCTAAGAATGGAGGGTTTGTAGCTCCTCCTTAGGTAGGTCCTAGGGAGAGGCGACCTACACAAGGAAAGCATAGGTCATCAGGGTGTCACAGCAATACAGTGGACACAAAGGTACGATGCGTCGAGGCCTGGGGGGGGCCAGTGAAAGCAGCGGCATTTTTCCATGGTGGTGTGGGAGAACTTCTGAAAATTCCCTATATCGCTTCCAGGGCAACATGGGAAGTTACTTGCAAGGAAAAGGGCCACTGGCCTGCAAGGATGCTAGGTGAAGAGAATACAGCTCCTCAGGGGCTGCCAGCTTGGTAAGAGGTGGTGGTGTCATGATGGGAAAGCTTGCACTAAGAGCAGGAGACCAGTATATGAGTACCCCACAGCTCAAGGTCAAGAACTTGGTTTCCCTTCTCTATGGACACTACCCTCGTCTTAGTGTTGGGAAGTTACATTAATCACAGTGAGAAGAAAGGAGAAATCCTGGGTTTGAAGCCTGAAATGACATGAGCAATCCCTGTTTTTAATAGGTTTTCTTTTACTGCACCAGCCAAAATAAAGGCTCGAGCTAGAAATCAAATTCAGTAGCCTAAATGAAGACTTGAGAGAGAAGCGAAATTCGGTAGCAAGACACTTTTAAGTGATAGTTTTGCATCCCTATCCCCTTCCAAGGAAACACATATACACTATGCTGATTGTTAGCCACTTAACATTTTCAGACAAATTCATGTAACGTTCATTCTGTACATAATGGAGACTGCATGTTGGCATAATTCCAGCTTCCCTGGCCTTTGGCTGTCTTGGGGCTGTGAGAGCTGGGCAGGAAAGGAAGGTAGTGAGAGGCGCAAGCAGCCTTTTTCCCAAGGAGCCTCGACCGAGTGTTGTTCTCTTACAGGGTGTTTCTACTAGCTGGGTCAAGGGTCATCTGCCTCAGACTCCACTAACGTCTTTATTCACAATTCTGATTCCGCAGGTCAGCGTTCAGAATTGAACTGAGACCCCCGCCCCCTAAAAATATGCATCGTAAATCTTATTGCAGCAGGCTATGACCCCATTTGAAAGTAGGGGTTTCTTTGCTATAAGCATGAGGCAGTAGTAGCGTAGGGTGTGCGGGGGTGAATCTCCTTTGAAATGTGAAAGGAACAGATGAAGGAACGGGGGATGTCATGTCACGTGGCGACCACCAGGGGGACAGGGAATGCTAGCCTACAGACTGAGCAGGGGCAAGAACCTGCCCCCGGAGCTGGCAATGAAAGAACACATTCCCCTCGGGCTGGCACCTTTCTTGCCCCCTCAACAGTGAGAACATAAATTTCTGTTTACAAAAGCCACCCACCTGCAGGATTTAGGCTACAGTAGCAGCGTAACTGAGAGACCCATTCATTCAGGATTACCTGTAAAGCTGAAGTGTCATATGACCCCAGGTGAGTTTATTCATGATTGAAAATGATTTTGAGAATGATGAGGGCAATGAATGTCCAAATGCGCTTTACACAATTGATGTGTGTATGGATTGTGCTAAGAGTTGTATGAGCCCCTAATAAAATGATTAAAAACAACAACAACAACACAAAACAAAAACAAGAGCACACACACACACAGAAAATGGTTGTCTTAATAAATAGAAATCTCCTCAATTATTGAGAACCAAGATGATTTAGTCAAATAAAATTATATTCCTCAGGAGCTTGGAATAGTTGCATACAAAAATATACAGGAATGAATAAATGATCTTATGTTTGGGGATCAAGATATCAACATTTTACAAGTTATTTTCTCTGCAACTAAGTCAGGAGAGGCTTACTCTAGGTTTCCCCATTCTCTCTTTCTACGTGAGCCCGGCTCACAATTCCAAGAGAAAGATAGTAAGAAGGGAAGAAAAGCTCCTGCCAGCGGAGGGCACAGGAAAGGGACGGGAAATCGGGAAGTGCTGATTCTGTTTAGTGTCTACGAATTGATGTCAGAACCATCTAATTTCCCAGATATGTCTCTTGACAGCGGTCATTTTGAAGATTAAGTGGAATATGAACCTGGAGGGTTTGGGAGTGATTTTGTTCAAGGCCGACTACTCAGAGGTATGTATATATTTCTGTTTCATCTTTGGGAGTCTTAGAAAACAACAACACATCGGTGGGTAGAAGGAAGGAAAGAAGGAAAGTTCACGTAACTCAGGAAACAGGAAAGAACTAAACGGACTCGGATTAGAAAAATTTCAGAATCCCAAAGGCAATGGCCTTGCTTCCGCAAGATACCAAAGTAACGAATGGGCCAGGTGTTTCCTGAAGTCAAGGCCAAGAGAAATTAGAGCATTTTAGCTCGGTACCAGACTGAGTTACTATACAACCATACTGGGATGCATCTGAAGTCTTTACCACACATTTCACCAAGATGACAAAACTCAGCTATGAATAGGGGACAGGTGAGGAAACGGGATTTAGAATGACCAAAGTAGATTGAATTCATTCTCTCGTGAGCCCCCACCCCCACCCCCACCCCCAGGGACAGGAAGGGATGGTGTGTTATCATGCTCATTTGGTGTATCATCATTTGGCAGCTGCTCAGAAGCAACCTCATGTTACTTCTCCCTTTGCTTTCTCTTTGGCCCAAGAGTCTTTCACTTGATTGCCCCTCTCTTTTCTTCAATCCCAAATGACCATTTCTTTCCCCATCATGCCACCATTGACTTCAATCAGCCCCGGGCCTGAACGGTCTCCAGTTTCCTCTGGAACTTGGTCAAGTTGCAGACAAACTCTGTTCAATCAAACAACATGTACATCCGTTACTTACCCTGTCATGCCGACTGCCCCTAGAGCCAAAGACAGGGGTAAAGTGTCCGGCCATTCTGCAGGCAGCGTTTCCAGGCCTGTCCCGTCAGAAATGCAGTGTGTTGTCCAACCAGAAGAAGCCACCACAGTGGTTCCCACGGGGAAGGCTGAGTTTTTACTTTCCACAACTCTGAAGGGGAAAGAACATTAAGACACGTGAAGCCTCTTCTCGGTCAAGGAGTCAGCATACTGGTGGTGTAGTGTTCACAAAAGGGCACTGAGGATAATCTTCCAGGATAAAACACACATTTCTCAATCATTGTTCTTAGCCATTGGCTTCTCCTCATCCTTCATAAACCAAGAACTCAATCAGCCAGTCCAGCATCGGTTCCTGTTTACATCCTGTTTCTTCTGAGCAAGGGATGCCGATTGTCTGATTCAACAGCATCGGTCCCTGTTTACATCCTGTTTCTTCTGAGCAAGAGATGTCGATTGTCTGATTCAAGGTGGTGTGCACACCAGCTTTTCCTTTTCTTTGGGGACTACCCTTCATCTCACAGTTCTCCTCTTTGCTTCATCTTTAACATTTTCCTTTCCACTGTCCCTTTCCCTCAACATCTAGATATGCTTCATGCGCCCATGTCCCCATCGTCTTCCCAGTGTCCCGGTATCCTTCCTCTTACAGCCAGACTTCCTCGCGTTCCAGTCACTTGATAACCCACTGCATTTGACGTCCAGCCCCCAGTACGTCAAAGTTTATCAACTCCCTATTGGAAAATCCAGTGGCCATTCTTGATTCATCTGACGTTACCTCTATTCAACACTGTTGATCATTCAACTGTCTTCCCCCGTTAGTTTTCAAGATCCCGTTCTAGGTGTATGTTGATACTGATCTCTGCTAGCTTTTTGCCTCTCATCTTCTTTTCTATGTCATTTACTGACATGCTTGATTCCATCTTTTCCCAGTCCTGCCTGTCCACACACACACATCAGAGGACTCCAGGAACTTTGTAGACATATTCGATAATCTTTTCATTTCTCTTTTCCACAAACTTTCTGAAGTCCTCCTGTATATAGGTAATTTTTAATTTTGCTGTTTTTGAGACATGCACAGAAGAATACATACCAACCCAGTAATGTCTACATGTACAGTCCAGTGATGTTGGTTATGTTTTTGAGTTGTATGACCATTCTCACCCTCCGTTCCCAATAAGCACAAATTCCCTCTTCCTTAAGTTTCCAATCTAATTTTTTAGGCTGCTGTTATCCACTATTACCATTGTTTTCGTCTTCCCTCAGATTTTATAATGTGGTTATTTTTAAAATGTGAAACATATAACTATCAGTCTTAATCTCACAATAAGAAGATAATTTCTATTAATATTTATGTGTCTTTATGGCAACCTTAACGATATATTTGAAAATATTGACTACATGTATTTCCCCACCTACTACCAACAGGTCGATTCTGACCCATAGTGACCCAGTGAAACGAGACAGTGAAACTACACATTTTGGTTTCTGAGATTACATCGTCCCAGGAGTGGATTGCCCAATCTTTTCCCTCAGAGCACTTGGTGGGTTTAAACCACTGACCTGTGGTTAGCAGCCCCATACATGGCCCACCACACCACCAGGGATCCTACATGTATTTACATAATTGAAATACTTTTATTGTTCTTTTATGAAAGACCAAGGAGAACTGATGCATTTGAATGATGGTGCTGGTGAGGAATATTGAAAGTACCACAGACGGCCAAATGAACAAACAATTCTGTCTCGGAAGCAGTACAGTCAGATGCTCCTTAGAGACAAGGATGGCAAGGCTTCATCTTGGGGACTTTGGACACATCAGGAGAGATCAGTCCCTGGAGAAGGACAGCACCCTTGGTAGAGGAAGACCCGCGGCAAGGGAGACACACACAGTGGCTGCAACAAGGCTCGAGCACAAGAACAATTGTGAGGCTGGCTTTCTAGAAGGTTGTAGCAGTTTCTGTTTGCACCATCAAGATTTGAATAGATCATCACATTATCGACAGCACCATATCTTTTTAAAAAGTCCTCAATGATTCAGCAAACACAAATACATCGTCATTCCTTTGGTTACTAGCAAAATATGTAAAAGGCCTATATGGAGAGGGATAACTTGTGTTTTGAGGGAAAGAATTTAAGATGTTAGTTCCCTTAAATAAATGTGTAAAGTCAGTGGCATCTAAATAAAAATTCAAATAGATGATACTATAATCAGTGTTGCAATGATTGTGAGTCATTTGAAAATAAATACCTCACTCCTCATGCAGAAATAAAAACATTGTTAAATTTTAAACCATAGAAGATACAGGAAAATAGCTTACTTAGCAATTTGGAAGAAAGAATGCCTTTGTAAGTTGAAACTGAAACCTAGACGCATAATAATTTCATCACATATAATTTTTAAACTATGATTGGATATACAAGAAAGATAAAGATAAACAAAAAAGCAAAATTTGCAATACTAGATTCCCTAATATACAAGAAGCTATTGCAAATCAGTCTTAAACTATAAAAGCCTAATGCTAAAGGTCAAAAGACATATAGATAATACACAGAGGGAAACAATGTACATATTGATTATTAAGTTACCAAAAAAATGAAAGATCACTAATGATTTTTAAGGGTGTGATGAACAGGAGCTGGAAAACCAGAAGGGAAGAAAAAAATGCTCCGCATATCTCAAGCTGAAAGAAATAAAGAAAAATTCAAACGTGGAATTACAATATTGAAGAGTTCTCTGGGCAAAATCTTGAGGAGGCAGGAAGCATGAACAGAAGATGGGAGGAATACACAAGCCACTGTACCAAAAAGAACCAGTCAACATTCAACCATGTCAAGAGGTAGCCATAGATGATCTAGAGCCTATGGAACTAATGGAAGCAGTCCATGCTGCGATAAAGGCATTAGTGAAAAACACGGCTACAGGAATTGGCAGGGTACCGACTGATGGAAACGTTTCAAGAAACTGGCGCAACACTGGAAGCACTCACTGGTTTATGCTAAGAAATTTGGAAGAGAGCTACCTGGCCAGTTAACTGGAAGAGATTCAGATCTGTTCTCAGTTCAAAGAAAGGAGACTCAACACTAGGTGGAAGTTATTGAACAGTATCATTCATGTTACATGCCAGGACAATTTTGCTGAAGGTAACTTGAAAATGGTTGCAGCAGTACACTGACAGGGAGCTACCCGACACTCAAGTTGGATTCACAAGAGGATGTAGAAGGAGGGGTATCATTATTGATGTCAGATGGATCTCAGCTAAAAGCAGGAAATATCGGAAAGATGTTTTTACATGTTTTATGAACTATGGCAAGTCATTCAGCTGTACGGACCATACACGCTATGGGTAACGTTGCAACATACACCGAAACAGGAGGCAATCGCTCTAATAGACCAAAAAGACACTGCAAATGCAAGCAACCTCCCTTGCCATCAGTCGACACGGACTAACAGCAACGCGAAAGGATGGAGCAAAGAGCCTCCGTGAGGTTCTGGGATTGTAACTCTTCACAAGGGCACAAAGCTTCGTCTTTCTTCCAAGGGTGAGCGGGTGGTTTCGAATTGCTGACCTTGCAGTCAGCAGCCCAGCACTTAACCACGACACCAAGAAGATACTGCAGGGTTTAAAATCAGGAAAGGGGTGCCTAAGTGTTGCATCCTTTCACCCTAATTATTCAACGTGTATGCTGAGCAAATAATTCAAGAAGTTGTAAATGAAGAAGAACATGGTAACCAGGATTGCAGGAAGGCTCCCTAACACCCTGCAGGATGCAGATGACACAACCCTGCTTGCTCAAAGCCAAGAAGGCTTCCATCGCTTACCGATGAGGATCAATGAATACAGCCTTCAGTAGGATGCCCAGGTCAACGATGTGAAAATCCTCACCGTTGGAGCAAAAGACAACATCTCGATAACTAAAGAAAAGACTGAAGTCGTCCAGGATTTCCCTTTCCTTAGATCCACAATCAATGCTCATGGAAGCAACGGTCAAGAAATCTTAAAAAAATGTTTTTTCAATTCTTGAATTGGGCAACTCTGCTACAAAGACTTCTTTGAACCGTTGAAGAAGACAAGTGTCACTTTGAGGGCTAAAAAAGTACTTCTCACCCGCGCCACGGTGTCCTCAATGCGCTCAGATGCAGGGGAAAGCCGTAAGAAGAAAACCAAGGAAGAACTGATGTATTTGAATGATTCTATTGGCAGGGAATATCGAAAGGACCGGGGGCTGCCAGAAGCACAAACACATCTACCCGTGGAGAAAGTACAGTCAGCAAAAGTAAATGTTGACCATTTGGTCTCACCCTAATTTTTAAAGGGGCACAGTGCTCGCAAACGATATTGTGCATTTGACAAGTTCATGTGTTCGTTAACTAAAAGATGACCTGGTGGTACAGTCGCCCCGCAGAATTCCCCGCCCTCGGTCATCCGCCAGAAGGTGGTAAACGTTGCTAACCTGGGGGTTGTCCCTTGTGGCCAAGACAGTATACACAGGTTTGCAGCTAAAACAGTGCACAGTGGGTCGCTGATGCTAGTCACAGTGGAACTGAAGGAAGGCTCCACCGCCCAGCTGATCATCAACACGG